CAGGAGGTGCCCAAGCAGCTGGTCTTGTGAGACTGGTGTTCGTCTGGCCTCTACCCGTTGACCTTTCAGGCATGATTGGATCTACGTCTGTGAGAAGCCATCCTGTATAATTCGCAGGGTCAATGAGGCGCGCAAGCCATCGCACCACGCCAAGGTGCAGTCTCGTCGTGATGGGCTCTATGCCCAACCACGGTGTGAAGTGCTATGCTCACTGGTAATAGTAATAATGATACTCGTCAGCATCATTATCATTGTCAATCGTGCTGCGTAATACAGTGAAGCGAAGTTTACCGATCACTGCCAAGCTCACAGTTTAATGAAATTAAGTAAGAACGTACGAAATGTACGGGAATGGGGTTTCATTGCGAAGAGAACAAGGAAAGTTCACCTCCATTTTTAACACAGGGTTCACAATGTGATGGCGCATACGCACTTTTTCAAGCACTCTAGCCTGATAATAAGTGATGGAAAGGCATTTGCTTCCGGTTTGTTGTCTTGTCCTTCGTTGTCTCGAACCAACCATGGTCTTTTGGACCCCAGCCGAGCAGACACGAAACACGTACCGTAATTAATTGCATTGTTTCATGCATCGTTTCCACATTATCTGTTAACCTCTACGCAATTCCCTCCAACCCGGGGCAGCAAATTAGACATGGTACGATAGACGATAGTTGGGTGTACGCCATTCGCACCCTAACCAGCAAAGTCTACTACTGTGAATGCTGTGATAAATTCTTCACTTAATTATTTCCAAGTACTTTTCGGTTAAACTGAGCGTTGTTTGCACACTCGCTCCATCCAACCCGCGCAAAACTACTTCAATATCGATATTGGAAGACGTCTAGACGACGAATGTTTTCCACGCGTAAGGAACACTTTGAAAGCAAGTAAGTTATCTCATCCGTGGGTTTTTGTATACACTGTCGTGCCCCAACAGCCATGACAAGCTGCGTACAAAAGCGTGTGTCTTGTAACCTTCCCACTGGGATGGTTTCGTAGTGCGCCTATGCTTTCAGGCCGCCACAAAACTGTCGATGCCACCAAATCACAGTTAGGGTACTCATGCTCGTATATATTGTTCTTGTGTTTCAGTATGCGGAATGGGTGCGTATGTGTAGTGGGGTGTAAATTAACCTGTGCATCGATTATAAGTATACGATCAGGAATGACCGATGACGAAAAACTCCACCTATCGCTCTAATCGGTTTCACTATTGACTACAGTCGCCCACAGTCAACAACTAAAGGTGATTGATGTTGTCAAACTTACCGTTCATTATTTTCAAAGGTTTCAAAGTACTCTAATGAGCAAATTAACACTTTCATCTGTTTGGAGGATAACTGACGAATTGTTCCTTGAATTATATCTGCTTGTCTCGTCAGAGCACCGATCCCCGTGAGATTGTCGGCCTAAAGAAGAAGAAATTGTGAACGATGTTTCTTAGAACACGTCATTCAAAAATCACTTTGATATATGAATTGGTAACAGACTGTAGAAAAGGTCAGCTTGTAGCTTGTTTTTTTTCATAAGTAATTATTATGTTCAATGTGATCACTAACTCCTCATAAGGAACCTGTTTGTTTGTTTTCTATTTTGCAACTTGCAATAATCCTCAGAAAATCACGGGAATCCCGGAAGATGAAGTACTAGAGGATGTAGATGTCAACCCGATTGAAGAGCGCCCACGCGAACCAGAAGCAGATGCGCGGGATATGGTGGTGGAAGGTCTCGGGTTGGACTCAGACGAAGAAGAAGAAATAGAAGAACAGTCTGAACTGGAGGATAATTTTGTTGAACTAGCCGGCGGTCACGCATTGGAGGATAAAGACACTGACGAGGCTGTAAACGATTCCGATCGACCACGGCAAATAAATCCGCGTGACGTGCTCGGGCAAGATAAAGTGCTCATGATGGAACGTTTTCTGTTTGGGGACAATGAACGAGACTGGAGCACCATGCAAGAAACTGATAGTGATGAGGACTCGGATGATGAGCAATTTGATGATCCGGATGATGCTACCATCTTAAATAGACAGTTCGAAAAGGTACGTTTTACTATGTTGACAGTTATTTCGGGCGACCGGGGCTGTCGTCACCAGCGAGGGACCTCCGCAGCTGAATATATATTCAGTTATCGAAAGCAATGAATACTGTTTTAATAAAAGACTTCAGTTCTTTAGGATAATTTTAATCCATTATTTACGTGCTCGTAGTTGTCTCATGCTGAGTTTAAATTGTTTTTTTACCAAAATGTGTGAGGAATGCCACGGACTTGTTGGAAACCGTGAATATCACGTACAATCAATCCGTTTGCCTCACCGGAATCGCCATTCTCCCTGGCACTTTCTGTTTCTGATAGTCCTATCAGTCCTGACTTAATTTTGCGCTCGAGGGCCGCGGCGATCAGTAAGTCCACGTGATCATCTTCCGCAAGCAAGATCGCTGCCTCCATCAGGGACACGTGTGGCGAGGTCAACTAGCTGACTCAAGCGTAATGTGCGCCCCAAGGAACAAATAGTGGATGAATATGTCAACCAATCCTGATTATGAACGTTGAAATCTCCCAAGATGGTAACATGTCAGTTGGGGTCGGTTGCAAACATGCGTTTAATGTTTAATCGTAGGCGGAGGAGTCGCCACTATTGGGTACGTATTGGATTTTACACACGTCTGAGGCTAGACTGTGCCAAACAAATCATGGTACAATAATCTTTATGATAAGAAAAACATTCTGTGATTCGCATGTGAGCGCAATACCACCAGGTTTTCCAGGCCAAGGCAGGTCAATTTTCTTGGGGATTTCAGAACCGGAGCCTTCGGCTAGTCAAAGCCTGACCCGCAAGGCAGCGGGGCGGTGTGAGAAAACCGCGATCCACTGGGGATAGGTGTCCAGTTCATCGGATCATACGCCCTTCGGACGGGGTCAAACGTTCAAGGTGGCCAATTCGGCCGGTAATCACTACAACGACCAGGTGTGGGGTGTGTTATTCGTTCGTTTCTTCTGGTTTGGTTTGGAATCAGGGCTTTTGGCCAACTCCCCTAAGTGAACTGCCAGTGATTCATCAACCCGGTTATAGCCTCGGATGTCGGCTTCTCGTCTTCCATTTGGTGGGTAAACACTGTCACGTAATAGCAGTGAGTAAGGCTTCCTCTGCAGAGGCTATTTGAGACGCTTGGTCTTATGAAAGGGTTGGTCAGCCACAACCCATGACATCCATCCGCGACCATAGTGAGGCTTTCAGGGGCCCCACTATTTGGGGAACGATAGAGAACGCAAAATTAATAATTACAAGAAGGAGGTCGGAGCGTCAGCCACATTAGCTTAAATTCACGATTGGAAAAGTCAAGATTTGGGATCTCGGAGGCAGTCACTGATTGGTGAATAAAGGCGCAGACACCAGCTTTGGGTAGAAAGAAGGAGTGGAAAATGTAGTTGGGTATTTGAAGGTGGATGATGTCTGACGAGGGGGAGATTGGTGGTTCGGCCAAAAAAGGAAGAATGGAGAGATTGGTGTACAGAATCAGTATTGTGGTTCAGTCCACGATCGTTCGTGATGGTGATGGGTGTGTTTCCAGTGAGAGTGCGTAGAGCGAGCGTGAGCATATGCGATTTTGTATTGCCATGTTTTTGTTGTGAGAAGGAAACCAATAACTCTGGTCCTGAAACTTGAAGTTGCGGACCACATAAGTCTTCAAAAGCTCAGGCGTAGTAGTCAGCCGGGAGTCGGCAGAGCCACCTAACACCCTCACGTTGCGTCAGGTCTTCGAGTTACGTCACACGTTGTCGATCAACTATCGCGGTGTTTCCTGAGCTAAACCTAACCTCAAACTCAGTTGCCCGTGAAGCTGTCAAGTTCTGTCACTTCGTTCGGTATGTGCTTTGCACCTTCAAAGGGCAAAGTGATGCTACAGTACTGGGTGTCGTCTACCCCGACTCTGATGCTTGATAGTAATTCGTTATGGCAGGTTGCTTCTCCTACTTAGGCAGTTGTGTGACAAATGACAGCAACATAGCAAAAGGGGTAACCGTTCGCATTTCCAAGTTACGAGCAATTTACACACGAATGAAACCTTTTGCGCCGATGTGATGTTTAGTTGGAAATGAAAGGTCGTTCGCTACTGTGCAGTTAGTTTTGTCACACTGTTGCGTGACCCTAAATTTGCGCGTTTTCATTTTTTATGTAAGTATGTGTTTGTGTGTGCCGTTAGTCTGTGTACTCTCCTCCTTCCTCAAAACGGCCTCAATTCCTTACACATTCTCACTTACTCTGTACCAGGTGAGATTGGCAGCTATCGCTGAGGTTCGCGTTGCTATATTTCCTTCTAGATTTATGGTTTTAATGGTTATAGTGGTACAACTTCACTGAGTTTGGAACGAGTCCGACTTGGGCACGCAGGCATACTTAACCATCCCGGTCCGTGCGACATGATTCTATTCTGTGTTCCATTGGGAAAACCGAACTGACCAAACCAATACTTGTTCACGAGTACTGTTTCACCAGGCTGATGTAATTTTCACAGATGTGATGATATACAACCTAAGAGGTCGACCCTCGCTCGCTGTTGCAATTCGTTTTCTTGTCGCAATTTCAGCTGATGGTCCGTTGCAAAGCTCGATCTGCTTCGGCCAGTCAATCCATGGTCACCGGAACTTCTATGATGAGTGAGGGACTTCAGTTCGCTTTGACACAGGATACTCGGATGTTACAACAACAGTGAGTACGCACGTTTTTTCTTTCTCAAATGGATCTAAAATGCGGTAAATCACCGACTTTTCTTGTGGCAAGCCTTGCTTGAATGCTATCTTAATTTTTCGCTTATTTTTGCGTTCCTTAGTCAACTGTTTTGTTAGTTGCGAAGGGAATACGATCGGCCGATAATGATGACAAAGTTAAGGGCAATATGATAAGCAGAGAATGCAGTATATCTAGATACCTTGGTCGCCAAATGCTCCAGCTCACGTCCACTGGAACAAGTAGTCGACCTTTGATCACGCTGATTGGGGTATGTGTTACGCATGTAACCTGATAGGTTGCCACGGTGAGCGATGTTTGCCGATGCGGTTATCGATTGGGAAAAGGTTCAGGTCAGTAA